CTGCATAAAAACTACCAGTAATTATTAAATTTTTAAGATCTTGTTAACATTGCTGATTTTACTTCTGTGTCATTTACTCACACAGCCCATAACACTGGATATGAATTATAAAGGAGTACAGGCCGGGAAGGGTCAGAGTCTTATTGATGAGATTTCAACCAAGAAGGAAAAGCCAATATCAAGATAAATAGGGCTAAATAAATAATCCAAAGACAGAGCTTCTTTTCCTTTTTTAAAAGATGTATGCCATATGCCAAAGTGTCTTATGACTTCTGAAAATCTCTAGGTATTTTTAAATTAATTTTCAAAGTATCTAGGTATTTTTAAATTAATTTTCAAAGTAAAGCAGTATTTTTATTCTCTGAGGTGATTAAAATCATCTTCTGCAGTTGTTTACAAATAGTTTATTTGAAATTATAAAGAAAAACATTTAGTTTATTTGAAATTATAAAGAAAAAGGTTTAGACAAAGTAAGATACTGAAAAAAGATACATGCCCTGGCCACTGTGGCTCAGCTGGTTGAGCGTCCTCCTAAGCCTTTGGATTCCCAACAGGGCACATGCCCAGTTGAGGGGGGTGCAGGAGGCAGCCAATTGATGTTTCTCTCTCTCCCTCTCCTTTTCTATATCTCTAAAATCAATAACAATATTTTTAATAAAGAGATGTGTATATTATGTGACAATTAATATCTTAAAAATGTATTCATGGATTTATTGTATGTGTCAGATTTCATGACAGTATAAAATAGATGAAGACATTAGTCACGAATATAATTTCAACTAAAAAAAAGAGATCAAGATAGTAAGAAAATGAAGATTCTCATATGTAAGTATATTACTAACTTCTGGGTACAATCCTGGCTCCAAAATAATATAACCAAGTCAAAATTAACTCAAAAGTAAAATATCAGGTATATTATTACTCATACTTATTAAAAGAATAAAGGGTGGAATTAGAATTTATTTGACATCTGACAAATGTTGTGGTTTTTCATTAAAGACTTCACTTCAGTTTCCCCCTTTTCAAAATTATTTATTTTAACAAAATTATAGTAAATAAATATTATATTAAGGAAGTTTATTAGCATGAAGTCAAGCAACTAGTAAACTCTAAAAAAGGTTATTATTAATCAGGTCAATGGAATTATAGAGTCTACTAACCCTTGGTATTTGTAAAATATATACACAAGGTAACTTATCAGACTGTTGAATTATGTTCTAATTTGTTTTCTAGTAATCTAGGCAAAAAATGAGAAATGCATTTTTCACTTATTTTTGCTTCTAAAACCTAATATCCCATTGAAAAATTAAGCAAAGTAATTTTGTTTTTATATTCTCTGGGTAACCTACTCCTGAAGAGAAATTTTCCTCTTTATTTTCAGCCTTTTAATAGTTTAACAAAAATATCCCTCTATAATAAGGCAGGTGCAGGGAAGCAAGCTGAAGAACAGTACGAAAAACCCATTTGAGTTATTACATTAGTTAGTGTTGGCAATTTAAAAAATATTCTAAAGGACTATGTCCCAAACTATTAACCATGGTTAGCTTCAGGAGAGGATACCATTGGAGACTTTCATTTTCCATGTTAAATATGATGCAATATTAAAATTTTGCCACCATGGCACATAGCTTTTAGAAGAAAAAAGAAACCTGTATTTCTTTTTGCTTTGTGTTTTGTTTTGGTTAACCCTCACCCTAGGGTATTTTCTTTTATTATTATTGTTGTTGTTGTTGTTGTTTATGGTATTAAAAATAGTACTACATATGTCTCCTTTATTTTTTTCCCCCTGTTGACCTCCTCCCAGCCTCCCCTACCCTAGAATATTTTCCCAATGATTTTTAGAGAGAGTGGAAGGGACAGGGAGATACAGAGAGAAAGAAACATCTTTTTGGTTACTTCCCAGACACTGGGCTAGGGATGGAGCCTAGACTGGAATCCAACCCAGGTCCCTTCAGTTCATGGGCTGATGCTCTATCCACTGAGTAAACCGGCTAGGGCAAGAAACCTGTTTTAAAAATGTGTGAAGTAGTTCTGATATCCTTCATCGAAAATTTTACAGAAAATTTGAGGATTTCTGTATAAGTACTACTGGACTGCCTGAACTTCAAGGAAATTTACCTATAGAGGGGCAAAAAAGACTGTGGAAGTGCATGTGATGAGCCTCATTAAATATTCTGTGTATCTGAGGGAGGGAGCTGGAGTGAGAACAGGCCAGTGAGGTAGGGGCAGCCTAGTCTGTGTACCATGAAAGGGCGGAAGTGGTGTGCCTTATGCTATACAGTGCAGAGCGTAAGCTCAAGCCATTCTTTTCTCAAGCTGTACTTGGGCAAAGGTGCCCATGTCTTGAGAAAGATGGGCAGTGGCCAGGGGAAAGAAAAGAAAGGGAGGGGGAGTGTAGAGGCAGAACTCTAAGAAATAACCATCAACTTCCCCAAGCTGCTAGATCCACAAGAGACAAATTAAAATCACAATACACTCAACTTTTTTATTTTTCCTTTCTTTGGGCAGGGCAATCAATCAATAATATGACTGAGATTTTCAACCCTTTTCACCTCCTGGCACACATAAAGTGATTACTAAAATTCTGCAGCACACCAAAAAATATATGTTTGCTGATTTGACAAAAAAATATAGGTATCATTTTGATTCATTTACACTGGATGGCTATTTTTGTACGGTTGTTGTCATTTTTTTTTGTCACTCTAAGGGAAAAGAGGTCAGTGCCCATGACTAAAAAGTCAGGTATTGCATGTTTTAAAAATTATTGCGGCACAAGGGTTGAAAAATTGCTGATCTATGAACTTGCTCAGAGGCTATTTTGACTACCAATAGTAAACAAACAGAAGCCTTCCTATTAAAGAACAAAGGGTAGCTAGGCAGGGTTCTGCTCACACCACATTTGTTTCAATCATTTTTTAAAATTTATCTACAAGTCTTCCATGTAAATAGATATTTTTAAACAAAGTGTCTACATGTTTAAACTAGTTGAAAAAAAATAATTGACTGAAATCTTGACATTTATAAAGTAGTGAATTTCAGGAGTAAGGGGAAAAACTCAAATAAGAGGCAACAAAACAGAAACATAATCAAAGAAGCTTCCCAATATGTGAAAAACAATCAAGTTGAAGTCCATTTTTTAACATACTAACGCAAGTTGAAAAATAGAGCCATGCTATGCACAGTATTGACAAAAAAATATGTTTTGACTAAGAATGTCTATATCCATTCACCCAGTTTATTCTTATGTAAATTCAATAGAAAGATAAAGTAATAAGATCATTACTTTGTTGACATACCCAACAAGCAATAGGTTATAAACATTTAAACAAAATAAGGTGAATTAAATAATATTTTTAAATGAAAAACATCATTATAGAGCTTGGTGTTGTCTGAATAGTGGCTCACTAAAGTATTTACAAAATATAATTCAAATATTAAATAACTTTTTGATAAAGAACAAAATTGTGGAAGTAAAAAAAAAAATCTGAATCTAAATCCCAGGTAGTTTCTCAAAGGACTTACAATTAATAGGATAAGTTGGTTGTAAAGAAGTCAAATTATTTTTAATTTGCATGGAGCATCAAAAACTACCTATACACACCATTCCATATCTATTATATGTAGAGAAATATTGTATGTTTAACATCTTATGAGAATTGATAAGAAAACAACATGCACATTTTAAAACATTAAATAGAAGCAAAATGAATGAATACCATATTTTATAGGTGAAATTTATGTTATGAGAAGAATCATACATCTATTTCAAATTCCCTTTTAAACAATAAATAATATCACAGTAGATTTAAAAAATAAAAGCTAATTTGCAATATTAGTCTCTGTGCTTAATCCTGTTTCTAAACTTTAATTGTATAATTAATAGTAACAGCAAACACTTATATAGAACTCACTATAAGCCTGGTACTGCAAACTTATATATATTAATTTATTTTATCCTCAAATGACTTTTGGGGTTAGTAAATTTACTCCCATTTTACAGGTAAGAAAATGCTTAGCCAGAACATCAAAAGATTTGCCTAAGGAAACAATATTGGTAAAATTTAGACTTGAACTTAGGCCATCTGGCTCCAGAAACCAAGATATACTCTAGATACTCAGAACATTCTAGAGCCTTTCTGATTATGGGGAATACAGGAAACACACTTTTAAAAATGTCAAGTGGTTCTTTCTCCTTACCAGTTTTTGTGAGAAGGCAGGGTATGAGGGGGCATGAAAGTAAGCTGGTTAGAGAATGGACATCATGGAAGCCAGAGCTATGATTGAACAAAGATCTTGCTTTCTGGGTCACAGCGAGTCCTCATAGATGACTGGGCTGTCCTCAGGGAACTTCCTAGTTAGAATCCTCAGGCTCTGTCTTGGTTACATGTGGGCGTTTCTGAGAAACATCACTGACCCAAGCTTGCTCCCCTGCTTTTTCCCACATAACTTACCCCTCCCCTCTTTGCAGTGAAGCCTTCTCAATCTAATCTTCCATTTAGTGGTTTTCTGCTTCCTCAGGTCTTTTGTTTATTCCTTCTCCCAACACTTCTTTTTATCTTGAGCCCACAATATATTGGGAGAGAGACTTAAAAGCATGATAAGATGTGGTAAGAAATGGAGTCTAAAATATACATCTCGCTTCCTTTACCGGTTTGTGTGTTTGGTAAGAATGTTTGCATGTGTGCACTTGTGGGGCACAGTTTTGATTTTTAAAGAATATATCTAATCCTTTTAAGTTATTGATGTCCTTTGGGAAAGCAGAATTATTTACTAAACCCTAGAGTAGAAGAACATCTCCATGGATGCAGACTTGCCTACAATTTTTTTCCAGTGAGGCCATCTGAGCATAAACAGCTCATGAAAATCAGGTTTCTTCTTTTACACAAACCAGAGTTTGCCACAGACTCTTAACTGACATGAAAATAAAACAGTATCACATTAGCTCCATAAGATAGATAAGAACATGGCATTTGAGCTGTTGTTCACATCCTTTTACTTACAGCCCTCGTAGATGTCGGTGGGAATATGGACTGCTGCATGCTGATAGGATATTTGTCGTCCAAAATTAGCATCATCTATGAAAACAGGTTTTATCCTCTGGCTGCCTGGCTCGCTGTCATTTTTTTCAGGCTATATAAGAAAATACAGAAAACAAACAGAATATTACAACTTATGCAACACAGATGTTCTCACATTCCTATCATGTGCCAAGTGCATATTCTTTAACAAAGGAACTAAAAGAATATTTTAAAATAGAGTACCAGGATGACTTCCAATTTATTCACAGTATAACCTAACTTCTCTCCTAATTTCCTCTGTGCTTGAGTCACTCCTCAGGATCATCTCAACAGAACCAGAGCTTACCAGCAACTAGTACTTAGCAAAATGTACATTTAAACAACAGGATAAGTGTCTTTAAATAGAACCGAATAAAAACTATCCCCTTGGAGGGAATTTCACTCATATCTTACCACATTTATAGTGTACAGTTGAGGATAATTCTGGGTTTGACAACTAATGGTCCTCACGACAGAATAAAAGACAGTAATGAGAAATTATTTTATGTCATGCTCCCTCGACTTTTGCATGTTTCCCAAGTGAATGAGATTTTTCCCCCCATAGCCCAGATCAATTTGATTTTCATGGACCTAGCCCCGAATATCACTGGGGGATGATTTTTAGAGAGTGGAGGGGAGAGATAGAAGCCTCAGTGTGACAGAGACACATTGATTGGTTTCCTCCCATATGGTGATTAGGGCCTGCAACCAAGGTACATGCCCTTGACTGGAATTGAACCTGGGACTCTTCAATCTGTGGGCCCATTCACTGGGCCAACCTGGCTAGGGCATGACATTTTGTTTTAAAAAAAGAAAGTATACTAGAAAAGAAGAGATCTATTGTAACTCTAAGTACAATCAAATCCTAACTGAAGCAATTTGTCTCCCAAGGTAGAAGCCAAGAAACAATCAATAATGATTTAGGAAAATCCCACAGGAGTTTAAGGTTGAAGATGAATTTTCTATCTCTTTGAACTATGCTTTATTCTGTTTCTTTGTTATGGGTTGGGGCCACAACATTAGTAACAAAGAAACAGAATTTCTGGAGGATGAGGCCCAGAAATCAGGATTTTAAAAAGATTCCCAGGTGATTCTAATGTGCAGCCAAGGTTGAGAACCACTGCTTTAGATACTGAATTACCTGTTGCCCTCCCTTGACAAAATCTAAGAATCTCACTCATTTATTCAAAACACAAGTCTAGAACAATTGTTTTTGACTAATTATGTTAACCCGTTTTTCCCAGTTCAAATATAGTTATTTTAACTCTTCCCTAATTCTTTTTTCATTAAATTCAGACCTGTATTATCAACTCATTCATTTTAGAGACTAATGTTTTCCATATTCCCAAGTTAAACTCCTTAAAACAAAACTGGAAATAAAAATCACAACATTGGGCTATTTTGGCAGCACACAGCAGTAATGCAAAGGATAAACAGTGGGAGACTCCATGGACAACCAGATTTCAGAAGGAGGCTGGGAAGATGTGTTAACAATCTAAAGTTAGCAGGTCTAGAAAGAAGCGTGTGTCCAACTTTCCATATGGCTCTGGAAATTTATACGGCCAGGTAACACATCAGCATCCTGAGATATTTTAACAACTTCCTACACACACAACCACACTTAGGTATTTTTTTTCTCTAAGGAAATTGAAACATTGAAAAGATTATTTAGACACAATATGAGCAACATGGCTTTTTTTATTTCTGTAAAGCTATACGTCTGATCCATCATTAGGTAATAAAATCAACTTAATATCTCATGACCAAGTCATTTTTAAATGAAACAAATATGAAAATACACTCCACATAAGACAGAACTATATTGTGAAATTTTTGGTCAAGTTAGGTATGACTGTGTGTGTGTACGAACATACATGTGGGTATATGCGAATTGAATTGTAAAATTTGTCATTGATAAAAATATTTGGGAACAGAGCACATTTTATTTAGTTAAAAGCCACAACGATATAATTGTCCCTCCAGTAACAAAATGAATATGCAAAATAACAGTGCTGAAAGTCTAACATTTAGCAACACACCTACATGCGAAAATCACAAATTACACTCTTCTAAAACAGAAGTGTGTGTAACATAATACCTATTACAAAGAACATACAATACTTACAAAATATCATAAAAGGCAGAGAGGGAAGTATAGACGTCAGATCTGGTTCTACTCTGTTGCATTAATAACATCTCGAACTCAGGCCAGTCCTGTTCCTCGGGCTTCTGTTTTTGACTCATAAGTAAATGACTCTGGGCTGCAGGTGTGGTCCTTACCCGGGGGGACAATCAGAATCACGTGGGGAGACTCCGCCCCCACCAATAAAGCAGCACATCCCAATGGGGAGAATGTCTTTTGAAGGAGTCTCTCAGTTGATCCTAAGATTCTCTCCTAGCTTCAATTAAGAACCCTCAGACTAAAGGATTTGCACTGGATTCAACTGTGCATTTTAATACACTTTAAAATTCACCCTCTCTAGTTTGTCGGTATCTATTCCTGGGCACTATTGACATGAATAAGAGAAAGGTACATTAAAACAAACTGCTTTCATTAATAATGTGAATGTAAAGAGGGTTCCAACTAATAGATACTATTCTTCTCAGCTGCAAACATTCTGAACTAGTGAAAAGTCTCCACAGTTACTTTAAAGCAGTGGTTTCTCAAAGTGCGGTCCTTGGAGAAGTGGCATCAGCATCCAGGGAAACTTTTTAGAATCCAGGCTCTCGGGGCCCACCCAGGACCTGGTCAGTAAGAAAGACCACGGGAGGGCTGAGCAATCTGTAGTTTAACAAACCTCCAGGTGATGCTGATGAACACAAAAATGGAAGTCCTGCGCTTCAAAGTATCAGTAGTTTAAATTAGGCATACATTTTTATGTAGTAGACACACTCATGAAATATTAGGATTGATCAGTAATATTCATATTAATGGGTACCTAAAATTTTCTGCCCTCCATGTATAAGACAGTTTTAGTATTACTGTGCATACATATGGTGATATGGCAAGTAATGTTTTTGTCAAAGGATATTTCAAAAGACAACAGTCCCTCATGATACTCTAGTGCAGGGGTGGGGAACCTTTTTTCTGCCAAGAACCATTTGGATATTTATAACATCATTCGAGGGCCATACAAAATTATCAATCTAGAAATTGGCCTGCTGTATTTGGTCAAACATTTAATTAACTCACCCCTAATGCCTTGGCAGGGCGAGAGCAAATATTTCTGGAGCCTTATACAGCATGCAGGCAGGAAGGTCCCCCCCTGCTCTAGGGGTTAGCTCCATCCACAATTATATTGGAAAAACACTGCCTGTTAGATTCTTCTATTAAGAGAATACTGTATTTCAAAGCTTCTTAAATAAGCTTCACTAAAAAATCAACTGTTTAACCCAGTGTTCTCAAGCTTATACAACCCTGAAACTCTTTTAAAAAATATAATACCTATTACAAAGAACATACAGTACTCACAAAATACCATAAAAGGCAGAGTGGAAAGCGCAGACGTCAGGAGATCTGGTTCCATTCTGTTGCACTAATAACGTCGGCAACGTAGGCCAGTCACTGTTCCTCGGGCTCCTGTTTTTGACTATAAGTAAATGACTATGGGCTGCAGGTGTGGTCCTTACCCGTGGGACGATCAGAATCACATGGGGAGCCTCTGCCCCCACCAACAGAGCAGCATATCCCAATGGGGAGAATGCCTTTTGTAGGAATCTCTCAGTTGATTCTAATTCTCTCCTATCTTCAAAACCCTCAAACTAAACAATCTACAAAGTCAGTTTCAGTTGTGAAAATTATAGTTCTACTTCTATAATTTTAAAAAAGAACACATTATTTTTGTTAGCATATCTTTTCAAGAAATCTCATTTACATCTATTTCTAGCAAAGTTCAGATATAGAAAAGTAGAAGGATTAGATGATAATAGACCGATAGGAAGGTATTGAACTACATCTATGAATTAAGGTTAGGAATATGTGGAAATGTGCAAATATTTCATTCATTCACTCTTTCAAGAAATATTTACTTGGTAAAATGAGGAGGATTTACTGATATTAACGTTTATAGAAATGCCATTTAATATCTAAATTGGGAAATAAATTAAATGCCCAACAATAGTAAAATGGTCACAATAATAGTGACAGCTATAATATAAAAGAGTAATTGCATTGAGAATATACATATATGCTATATTTGTTTAAACTTATCTAAAGTTTAAAAAGTAAATATTCAGCAAAAAGGAAAGAAAAGGCCTATTTATTTTGAGAGGAAAGAGAGGTAAATGGATATATGCATGGATGCTTACATAGTAAATGTAATTAGTTTTGTAGTTATGAGATACGTATAACTATAGTTATGTTTGGGTTCTCTTGCTTTTTAGAATAGTACAAGGAGCATGTATTATATTTTAATTGGAAAAATATTCATTTTTCTTTGAATTCCTTTCTGAAGTTCTATTAAGCATTATATGATTATCTTACTAAGGTGAAACTTACTTCTTATATTTCCTCTGAATCCTCTCATAGCTAAAAATCACAATTTTAAATATATTAATTCGTTTAATATATTTACCACATAAAGGTCTTTTATAAATAACTTTAAAATAATAATGTACTTCTTAACTTGTATAATTGTGTATCAAGACTAGTTTTAATGTGCAGTTGTTAAATATATTAAGGAAAACTAATACTCCATTTCATAACCTCCATAAATTGAAATAATTTCATGAAAATATAAGAATTTTTAATGCAAATCACTTATTTTCTTAAACATATATTATTGTTTCAGATAGCTATATTAATATTGTCATTATATAGTAATTAAAATACAAAAAATATTATACATAAAAGAATTAACAGAAAAGAAATTGGGGGAAAGCTACTTAACATATGTTGTTTAATGTGTTAATTAAAATTTTTAAATGCTTCCCCTGGAATTAACATTTCCTTGTTTAAGTTATTATATTCCTTTTTTAACATTTTCCCCCAAAATCTCTCTTCTGAATTCTCCAAACCATCCTATAGAAATGTCTACAAAGAAATGAGCAAATTGATTCTCAAATGTATTCAAA